TTCTACTGGGGATATTAAGGTAAGAGTAATATTTTAATGCACAGAATCACAGCATTTGATCCATTATTTTTCTCCCCTTTCCTCCTTGTTGCTAGTAGTAACACAAAGCCACAAGTCCTAGCCAGGAATTCTTCACGGGGGTGGTTTTAGGAAAATATGTATTAATAAGTCTTTTTTTTTCCTCCAACTTTGTTAAATGCACAGCATCTGCTGTTTTGTGAGATTCTATACAAATCAATGTAATTGACACAGACTCACTACTGAAATTAACTGAAGGCTGTCATAATGTGAAATACATGTTTACAAAGCATGCTAATTAAACAACAATAACTGAGAGATGTATAGAGGTAAACAGCAACAAGGTTGAAAACACAATCTAAGTTCCTTAATGGTATAACAGCCACAAAGTTAAAGGCAATCCATAACATTATTATAAAAAAAAAAAATGCATACTTGCACGTCTTTTAGTCTAAAGCATTTTTAAACAGGAAGACAGAGTTCTAAGCAGATGTTATATTTATAACCTAGTGTACTTCACAACTTGTTTCCTAATAATTCTTGAAGGGAACAAGCAAACCGTTATTCTGAATGAATACTGTCTTTCCCAGGTACTGGGCCTTGCTGGGATAGTTTTCTTCATAGATGCCTGTATAGTACTGTATTTTGAACTTGTGATTAAACCAGTGTTGATAACACTGTTGAAAACACTGGTGTTTTGCACATTGACGAGAAGTGCTTGCACAGCATCACGCTTTTTTTTTTTTTCCTTACTCTGCCCCCCTCAGAGAGTAGGGATGATGTGCCAGAAGCTGGGAGGTGGCATAGCTGGGACAGCTGACCCGAACTGACCCAGGAGATATTCCATACCACATGACACTGTTCAGCAATAAAAGCTCAAGGAAAGAAGGAGGAACATTTGTGCTAATGCTTCTCATCTTCCCATGTAACCATCACCCATGCAGAAGCCCTTCTTTCCAAGCAGCAATTAAACATCTACCTACCAGTGACAAATAGCAAATAAATTCCTTTATTTTGCTCTGCTTGCACAAATGGCTTTTCTTCACTTATTAAACTTGATTAAAAAGGTAAAGAACTTAAAGAACCATGAGATTTCAGCTTTTACCTTTTTGATCCTCTCCCCATCCCACTGTGGGGGCAGTGAGCAAGTGACTGGGTGGATTCTTAGCTGTTAACCACTGTGAACCCACCCACGTGGCTGCACTCAAACACAAGTATTTTCACAATTACACTCCATATGGTTTGTTTTACTTTGTCCCCAAAGTTTATTATTGAATAAAGGAGACAGATTGTGACATTTGTTTCATTTAATCTAATATACTCATCACAGTTTAAAGGGCATGGATGAAGATACAATATATAATCTGAAAGCATTAGACAAATATCTCAAGAAAATAATAAAACATTCAGACCACCTACTCACAGCTACTTAGTAAATAGTCAACACTGTAAAGTCATCACACCCAGTGGATGATATACAGCAATTAAGTTAGATGTTGAAAATAATCTAGTGCAGGTAGTATAAAAACTCCAAAGAGTTTACAGCTTTATTCACTATGAAATCTTTTGAATTTAACACAGTTCATTCTAAAGATCTCATATTTATGAGGAACTTAAGGCAAATAAATGTAGGTACATGAAAAATTACAAAACTGCAGCTAAGATTGCGAAGCTGTGATCTAAACTTTACCTCTGTGTACAATGAATACTGTAGAAAATAGTAAAAATAATTACTAATATGAAAAAGAGCTCATTTTGCCAGTTTTCTTTGCAACAGAAGACTGAAGTTCTGGGAAACAATGACACTTAGTTACATATCCACACAAGATTACTTTATGACATGAAAGCAAATGAAAATAATATGGATTTCTGATAGCTTAGAAGCAAGGACACTGAAATTTTTAAGAGTATTCTAGTCCTAGATATCCTAGTTAAACAATCTGCTTATCATCCTTTTTTTCTCTTATTCCTTTAGTCCCAAAAGACACAACTTCCTTTCTGAATGTTACCTTGGCATGAAAATCACATATGTATACCAGAATGTGTAACACTAACTGCAGATCACATACAGAAAATACAGTGCTCATACTACACATATGCAATAAATGCTCACACAAACTCAGTGCTATAAAAGTAGACAATAATGAAATGCCTTTAAAATCTTTTAAATAACCCCCTTAAGACTAACGTCTTGTAAAATAGTGGATTTGAATATTTTTTTAAAACCATTTCTGGCAAACTATGAAATTTGATTCATAGAGTAATACAGATTGGGAAGCTCTCTGAAGATCACAGAGTTTAAACTGTTTACAGTTTGGTGAGGCTCTCTGCTTGAGTTTTGAGTATCTTCAAACATGAAACTTGCACAGCCTCTCTGTATAACCAGTTCTATTGGGTAACCATGCTCAGTATAAAGTATTTTTCCCAATATTAGTTTGGATTTACCCTGTTACAACTTGGATTTGATGCCTTGTCCTGTCACTGTACACTTACCAAAAGAGTTGAGTTTCATCTTCCTTTAGTATCAGATCATCAGATAATTTAGGACAGCAGTAACACCTTCACTTGGCCTTTTTCTCTTCAGGCTAAACAAACCCAGCTCTCAGCCTTTCCCTGCATCCTGATGGTCTTTCTCTGGACTCACTCCAATATATTTCTTGTACTAGGGAGCCCAGAGCTGAACACAATACTCCAAATGCAGTTTTACAATAGCCAAATAGAGGGGAATAATCACTTCCCTCAACCTGCTCTCTATGCCCTTGCTACTACAGCCTAATATGTAAGCTGGTACCTTTACTGAGAAGGCACACCACATGTTCAATCTATCTACTGGAACACCAGGACCATTTTCTCCAAAGTTTCAGGTCTCCACAGACTGCACTCTTCTAGTTTGATTCTTGTAAATAAATTGATCTTCATAGTGGATGTTTCTATGAATATGTGGGCTGCAACAATCTCTCACACCTGAGCACTTCATGTCGTCACTCATCTTCACAGCATATCAAGCTTAGTTCTGTTTATTGCTCTACTGTTGCATGAAATGAAAGCACAAAAGGCCAGCTGAACCTTTCAATCATCCAGGGAAGAACCAGGATTTTCAACCAAGGATGAGACAATGCTGGCAGAAAGCCAGGTAACCATGTACCACCTCGTAAATCCTTGATTTATCTAATATGCAGCTGTGGAAGATTGCTATGGGTCAGCTGTAGAATGATGTAATGTTATATCAACCTGAGAAACTTGGTATCATCACCATACAGTCAGAAGATAAAATTAACAGCATTTGTTGTTGTTTGGTAAAACAAAACCAACAAACAAGAAAAGTAATAACACCAAAAAAAAAAAAAAAAAAAAAAACATTCTGCCATTTACTTCCTTTTCTAATTCTTCCTGTTCTTTGGCATGTGATGCACAGAAAGTGATATTCCATTTGGCTTAAAAAATATCACCTTCTTTCATGGTACTAAATATCTAGACAACAAATAAAGTGAGGTTACTCTGTAGACAGAAGAGTTGGAAGAAGTAGATGGCTACAAGTAGAAGAGCTGACTAGAAGTAGATGCAAAATCTGTTTTATGTACTTTGTACTGCTTAGCTAAATACAGATATCCTCATATTTGCAGGCAGAATTCATAATGATTTATTAATATACTGGAAATATTATTTTAGAAATTAAATAAAAGCCACAGAGCTTAATACTGTAATTTGCTGATGTTGCTAGACGGTAATGTATATTGATCATATTAGCCTGGTACCATAAATGAACGTCTAATTCTCCACTTCTTTACATCTTGTGTGTTCCCATACACCTATGAAGAATGAGAGTGAAACACTACCATTGTGATAGTATTCCTTATTCTCTTTACAGAGAGAAATCTGTCAAATGTCTCAAGGAGAGTTCACTGAAATCATGATCTATTCATTCTTGCCATTAGTCTTGAAACTGATTTTTAGTACTTCAAAGAAATACTAAGAAGACGACTACAAAGAAGATAGAACTTCTTTGACCAGAATTGAATTTCTGTGAAGATTTAGTAAAATGATCCCAAGACAGCATTTACCAAGAATAATCTATGGAGCATGTCAACTATTCAAATTCAGCAGAATGGTCACATGGTGCTGACTCCCAGTTCATACCTCTCCTCTTTCAATAATGCATTTTAAAAGGGAAAAAAATGTTACTTCCTGAATTGCCATTTTATATGTTAGGTATAAATTCTGTGTTTACATTAAAGATTCACAAACAGGACGGCAGACAATCCCGGCATTAAACACTCTGAAATACATTACAGAATAGGGATATAACATAAGGATATGAGAAGACAAACATTCCAGAAGAAAATTCGACAATATGCACATAGCATTTTTACAAATACACTATACCTATTTCATAGTAGAGCAACTATTTAAAGTCTGTTTCAAAATCTGCTTTAGCTAACATGTTCCTACAAGTAATCACACTTCAGGGAAGTTAAATACTAATAATCTGTGTGTCTTTCTTGTTACTTTCACCTTCTATTAACTTGCTTATCTACTTCAGAACACTATAAATACATATTTCTATTCCAACAGGCAAGGAAAGTTAATGAGATTACAGTAATGGTTAAGGCAGTCATTTATAGGTGTTGATTTAATAAAAAGAATCCATTTTAGTAACTGCAGAACTGAAAAGATAATGCAAAACATTTATTTGTGCAGTACTGCCAGCTTGGCTCAAATAGCAGTGCTTATGCAGGAAGGTACAGACTTAGGAAAACCATTCACAGCCTGATTAGTGTAACAGCAGAACAAGAATAAAAGAAACCAAAGGGAAGAATTGAAAAGAATAATGGTGCAGCACCTGAAATGTGGCACACCAGACTGCTAAAAGTTCACACAGAACTCTGTGTCAGAAACAGCACAAGGAATAACAAAAGTAGTATAGTTCTTTGGACTGACTTGTTAAGAATTTGCAGTTAGAGGAATCTCCCCAATAATCATACCTGCAAGACTGAGGAAATGCATCTGGAAGTAGTGCCTTCTGTCAGTTCTTAGTCTGTACATATTTGTAGGTGCAAAAGTCTCTTGGAAATCTAATCCCACTTCTTAAGGGGGAAATCTCAAAGATGACAAACCCTTGTCTGACTTGCTGCTCTGAACTTGAGATTTTCTTCTGGAAATAAGTGAAATATAGACCTATGATAGGAAAAAAAAAGTAAATTTTAGTTGAACCTGAAATTCAGATATTAATGTATTAGAAACACTGTATTAGAAACACTGTCACAAAGCTCATTCATGGCTTTGATTTTGTTTTGTTGGCTTTTTTTTTTTCCTGGTTGATCAAGCAACTCTTAAAACAGAGACATTTGTGAAAAAGTGAAATGTTTGCCTCATGGAGGCAGCACTGGAAAGCAATCAAACTAGAGTTTCGCAACTGCTGATCATTAGTGCAAGCATTTTTTTTATTCTTTACTGTAAAACTCCCATAACCAAGGTATAAGTCATATCAGCCAGAAGGGGTTGACAACTTGCTTAAACAGCTGGACTACCATAAATCCTCCACATAGTAGGTGCTTCCATCATTAATTACTCCTGACCTTAAAATGCATTCTAGTTTGACTGTGAACATTGAGCTATATGCAAAAAAGTATTACATAACCCCCTAGGATCCTGCCTGCTTTAACTCCACAGTTATGTAATGTTTCAGGAAAACTAACCTGGAGTGGCATAAGAACACTGTAACCTTTTGTAGACATTTCCACAGCTACCCATTTGAACCTCCCTTTAAAAGGCTGCATTCTTACATGGTGCAGCAGAATATAATTGAAGAAAAAGTATATGAAAATAACATATCACACCATGGTTCCCTGATATTAAGCTATGTTGGAGTGCAAAACAATACACTGCAGAACAGTTGTGGAAATCTATTTAATTAGTGTCTCTATCATACGTACACAGTTGCAGAATACCATTTTCACCCCAGCTGCTCTGTGAGTGGGACATACATCATACCTGACACAGTTTAAAGAATTAATATGGTATACAAGATTAACTATTAAACCAACCCTTGAAAGTTTAAGAACAAATATATGCCACTGTTGTGCAGTTTATTTGACTGAATACCTTCTACTGATTTATTTTGTGTCCAGCTTCTTATTGTGTACAAAGAGCCCTCTCTACTCTTACTGCAAGATATAAAGATGGTTTCTAGATAAGCATATTTTAAAAGTTCAGATCACCTTTACACCCATTAATTCTGGTATTGTTAACAGAGATTTTATATTCTCACTACAGACTACTACAGATTTTGCTCACATTTAGGATATAGCTTGATTATGCTGCACTGAGAGTTTTCTAAGAATGAACTGTCCTTCCCATAGACCTACAGGATTTGACCAATGGAAATATGATACAGGGAAGTCATGCACCCTCAAATACTTTTTGTTCCTTTAAGCACTAAAGATAAGTGTTTCTTCAGATACTAAATTAGTGGGTACTGAGTAAAAACTGAACATATCTTCCCTATCTTGGTAACTTGGAGTGTTCAGAGGCAAGAGGATCCCTGAAGAATGGCTGCATCTCTACACTGTCCTCTCCTGTGCTGCCAGCTTTTCTGGCTTCTTGCTTACAGCAGGAGTAATGACTCCATAAGAGCCAAGATATTCTGCTATCAGCTAGTGCACCTCAGTTCTCCTTTAGCTGCTGGACAATGATAGCTGAGAGCTGGTTTATGGAATAATATACTGTCCAAGTCCTCCTGTAAGAACCTTGCTTGTGATCCTTCTTGGTTTATAGTTTAATTAATCTACAGCAAATCAATTCCATAGTAACCTATTAGTCAGTCCTGCATTTAGAAGATGCAAAAGTCCCCATATCTAGAGGCTGGCAATAAGAAATACGCTCCACAAGCTTTAAATTATGATTTCCATAGGCTCCAGTCAAATAGGTATGTATTTGACGTTTTAAGGTCAAGTTTTGATCTGCAGTCCCCAGTCTAAAGTCCTACCCAAACAACCCTCCATGAAAAAAAAAATAAATGTGATTTTCTTCTCTTAATTAATTCTTAACACAATTAAGCTATTACAATGCTTTATATCCTTCCACATTCTTCTAGCATACCATGTAACTACTGCAATGTACATTCAGTTCAGAAAAGTAAAATTGCTTGTAGTACTTTCAGGGGTATAACTGGAATATTATAAATACTTCATTAAAAAGCTGTTAATCACATAAAAAGTATTCAGAGGAATGTACTTTGTCCATATCTTGCAGATTCATACATATTAATTGTTCAGCTTCTCCTTCCTGAAGTAATATCAGCTAAAAGGTACAGTTAATCCTTGGGCAGCACCCTCAAAGAGAGAGGTGAAGATAATTCACTTACAAACAGTGTTTCTAAAACTAGTCCCAGTGAGGCTTCTTTGTCTGTTGAGAGGCTATCAGAAAATGTATTACTAATTTTAATTTGCTAAACTCCCCTTACACAAAATACATTTAAGCCATTCATGGATGACACAATTCATCAAGTTAACTTATTCATATTGAGAGAACTTCTTAATTACCTACACAATAATTGATTTAAAACTGATTTTTTTTTTAATCACAAATTAATCATCCTTTTCAATTATTTCTTCCTCTACTCAGTGGGACTGCTTATCTTCAAGATTTTACTCCTGGTAGTAAAATATGACTGCTCAGTGATGTCCACTGAATAGTCAATTCAGAACGACATTTCTGCTAATGGTACAGCTGCTGCCTCTACACTTTCAGCCTTCAAAATGGTTACAAGAATCAAACTGAACTAAGACTAAGTAGTGAAGTCTAAATTTGTGTCGTCTCTGATGACTAATCAGTATTCAAGTGCTAAGCTTGTATTTAAGCCCTATAATGTATTTCTTCCCTATAAACACTGACAAATACTTCAACAGTCAGAAGTTTTATGTTTCAATGATCCAAATGCATTTGTAAGGATACTTCATGTAGCAAGCAACGGAGATATTTTTAGATTTTTGTCATCTTGTTAGATTCTTTTCTTATTCCCCAGAGGTAGTCATTCAGAAACCGCAGGATTAATACAGAAGAAAGTGGTCAGAGGCTACAATCCACTTGGGAACTTTTTAAATGAATTTAAGGAAGGCAAACCAGGCAAGCCAGAGGGGTCTGCAACTCATCAATGACTTATCAAGCTTTCATGTTGCAGTAGTTCTTGCTATTTTAGCTAGGCATTATGTCCAAACTTAGGAGAGAGCTATTTGGGGATTTACAGCAAGCAGACCAGATGCTGGTCTTTTTGTCTTCATATTTTAATTTGCATCAGAGGTTGAAAAAATATCTTCTCTTTCCAAGATGATTGGAAAAATAGGTGATCAAAATACTACAGATTGATGAGATATTCTCTTAATTAGAAAGAAGATTATAGCACGCTGCATACTTGGTTTTTAAGTGAGATGGAATTAAGTCTAACACTTAACCTTGTGGTCTTAAAAAGAGGTCAACATTGATAAAAAGGAAAGTGACAAAATATCAATAGTCATTTTTCTCAGCATCACAATAACACAAAAAAGGTCTCCATTTTTGTCTGCATGTCACCTGGTATCTCCTAAGCACAGCTGCTCACCAGGGACACAGAAGGCTGCCAAGTCTGCAGTCAGCTGGAGGACATAACTGGGAGTCAGTACTGAGGCCATACCCTGACAGGGCAGGCAGAAATCCTGCTCTATGCATTTGGCCATTAATAAAGGATTATTTTTAATGCATAGAAAGGAACAAATTCACCTCACCTCACAGGTTTACTTCCTTTCCTGCAATGCACTGAAGAAAGAGCCAGGCTTTGTGCCCATTTCCCCAGCCATGCTTGCCTGCCTGCACCTGCCCAGCCCGCTACCTCTGGTGCTCACCACCTGCTGCATAACCCAGAGGATGTCTTCAACTGCAGAGAATCACATTCAAAACAGAAGAATGACAAATACTAAATTCCCATGGATAAAGATCAACCAAAGACGCAAAATTAACCCAAGTCTATACAGACTTGGAAACAAGGATCTCTGAATAAAGTTCTCCCACAGCTATGAGACAGAGCAACCTGAAAGAACTGCACACTCGTAGAATTTGCTTTACTGATAAGCATGTTCCTGCTTTGTAGCCCACCGATAACATGGTAAGGAGGAGCTCATAGCTTACCGCCAGGGCACTTGGATTGCAGGTTCCAGCCCAATATACTCTTGTTGATAAAGTAAGAGTCCTCTGGTAATTCAAGCTCAGCACTGAACCCTACCCAGCATGATTTAAGGCAGACTGCCTGTCTAATTAGCGCGGGCAAAGTGGGATCTGGCAGACCTGCTGGGGAAAAGGAGTTCCTGGAAACAATTCTCTACTCATGAAGCCGAGGTTAGGGCCTCTCGCTACAGCAGCTAGTTTCCCATTTTAATTGCACACACTTCACCATAACATTTGCTCCAAATTACAATAATTTTTTTTGAGACAAATAAGATCTCAGTTATTTAATAGCCAAGACCAGGCAGCCTGTGCTTTAAATATGAAACAAGTTTCAGGTAATGCATATTCATCCTAATATAAGAACAAAGGTGCATAATAACAAACTCGTAAGCACTCATTATTGCTTATTTCCTCCTGTAATCACCTAAGTGCAGCCTACAAACATCTAACATAAAATTTGGTAGCATTTTATACTCACTTTGCATTCATTTTTGTCTGGAAATAATGTTAATCTAAATATTCTGATTTTCTATCACCAAAATTAAATATCTTGGTTTAAGAAACATCTTCCAAACATATATACTGTTCTTTTCTGAGAAAACTATACAGTAATTTAACTTCCAGATGTCTCAAAATACTTACTACTTCCAATGAGACGAACTGTTAGACCAAGCACTGAAAATATAAAAATTGTTGTTCTATGTTCACAGTTAACCAAATAAAGAAGGGTGCCTGGTGTTGGCTGTAACCTGGTAACAAAGTTACTACAACTCCTTTAACTACCCCAAAAAGAAGTTTTGTTCAACTTAAAAGGAAGCACAGGCATCTCAAAATAAAAATGCTGTGCATCCCTACATAGAAACATGTCAACAAGAAGCAGAGCTCTAGTGCAGAGCAGATGGCAGCACGGCATGCACAGCTAGCAGAACTCTTCATCAGACAGGCCAGAGCGTATGCTGATCGCAGACACATTAACACCT